CCCCCACGGCTCGTTCTCTTTCTCCCCCCCACGTGCTCGTTCTCCCCCCCGCGGCTCGTTCTCCCCCACGTGCTCGTTCTCCCCCCCCCACGTGCTCGTTCTCCCGCCACGGCTCGTTCTCCCCCCACGTGCTTGTTCTCCCCACGGCTCGTTCTCCCCCCCACGTGCTCGTTCTCCCCCCACGTGCTCGTTCTCACCCCACGTGCTCGTTCTCTCACCCCCCACGTGCTCGTTCTCCCCCCCGTGCGTGCTCGTTCTCTCCCCGCCGCGGCTCTTTCTCCCCCCCATGTGCTTGTTCTCCCGCCGCGGCTCGTTCTCCCCCCCCCCACGTGCTCGTTCTCACTCCCGCCGCGGCTCGTTCTCCCCCCCACGTGCTCGTTCTCCCTCCCGCCGCGGCTCGTTCTCCCCCCCACGTGCTCGTTCTCCCCCCCCACGTGCTCGTTCTCCCCCCCCACGTGCTCGTTCTCTCCCCCCCACGTGCTCGTTCTCCCCCCCCCACGTGCTCGTTCTCCCCCCCCCACGTGCTCGTTCTCCCCCCCACGTGCTCGTTCTCCCCCCGCGTGCTCGTTCTCCCGCCGCGGCTCGTTCTCCCCCACGTGCTCGTTCTCCCCCCACGTGCTCGCCGTCTCCTCTGTAGCATGTTACGGGGTTTAAATCTTAACAAGAGAGATTTGTCAATACGGGATTTCACCCGCAGAGCAGAATCAGGATTGGAAAATCGGAAAATGAGAAGATGGATGGTAATTAAAACTGGAATGTTCGGGGGGGATGTAAATTCCGGGATATTATCGGCTCATTGATTTTCATAAAAGATGTGCGATTGGAAGCACGGGGGGGATATTGGAGGGGGGGGGCAGCCTTCGATCAGGAAGGCAGATTGCAAATTGTCAGGATGGATGGAAATTGGAGGGATAATTGGCAGCTTCATTCCTCACCGGCAGGAAAATAGAAAGTAATGAATTTACATAGCGACCCGCTTTAAAGTGGACCTGTCATTGGAAGTAAGGGCAGCTTGGCTGACTAATATCTAAGTGGAATCCTTCCAGGTGCTGCCACTCCCCTGACAATGCCTTCATCGACTTTTCTCTCCAGGGACAGAGCCATCTTTGTTCAGGCATCATCGAGCATCACCATCTACATCCCGGACTGAAATGTTGGCTTAGAGATGACACAGTCATGGAAATCCTGGCACCTGTGTAGTTTTTTTTTTTTTTCTGTGTTCACAAATGTCTGACACAAATCAGCCTCTGCTGCAACCTCCCACCTCAAGGTTACAATGGTGCAGTGTGATCATTGGCAGAGAGGAGACTGAGGAAATGCTTCTTCTTGTCTGCAGAAGACTGATGACATCATCTCAGTTTAGAAAAAGTCACCGGGGAAGAGGGGACTGAGGAAATACTCCTCAACTGCAACAGACGTATGACATCATCTCAGTCTGGGAAAAGTCACCAGGGAAGAGGAGACTTAGGACATGCTTCTTTTTGCCTGCAGCAGACTCATGGCATCATCTCAGTCTGGGAAACTTAGTAAATACTTCTTCTTGCCTCACCATGGGAAAAAGTCAAGGGGAAGGAGACTGAGGAAATGCCTTTTCTTGCCTACGGCAGACTGATGGCATCATCTCAGCATTTAAAAAGTCGCTGGGGAAGAGAAGACTTAAGAATGTATGCAGCAGACCAATGACATCATCTCAGTCTGCTGGGGTAGAGGAGACTGAGGAAATACTTCTTCTAGCCAGCAGCAGATGGATGGTATCATCTCAGTCTGGAAACCTCACTGAGGAAATGCTTTATCTTGCCTGCAGCAGACTGATTACATCATCGCAGCATTGAAAAAGTCACTGGGGAAGAGAAGACTAAGGAAATACTTATTTTTGCCTGCAACAGACTCATGACATCATCTCAGTATAGGAAAAGTTGATGGGGAAGAGGAGACTGATGAAATGCTTTTTCTTGCCTGCAGCAGACTGATGACATCATCTCAGTTTAGGAAAAGTACCTGGGACAGAAGACTGAGGAAATGCTTCTTCTTGTATGCAGCAGACTGATGACCTCATCTCAGTCTGCTGGAGCAGAGGAGACTCAGGAAATACTTCTTCTAGCCTGCAGCAGACCGATGACATCATCTCAGTCTAGAAAAAGTCACTGAGGGAGAGGAGACTGAGCAAATGCTTTTGCTTGCCTGCGGCCGACTGATGATATTTACCTAAGGTCTACAATTTTGTAGTCTGATCACTGGGGGAGAGTAGACTAAGGATATTATACCATCTCCTGCCTGCAGCAGACTGATGACATCATCTCAGTTTAGGAAAAGTACCTGGGGACAGAAGACTGAGGAAATGCTTCTTCTTGTATGCAGCAGACTGATGACATCATCTCAGTCTGCTGGAGCAGAGGAGACTCAGGAAATACTTCTTCTAGCCTGCAGCAGACCGATGACATCATCTCAGTCTAGAAAAAGTCACTGAGGAAGAGGAGACTGAGGAAATGCTTTTTCTTGCCTGCGGCCGACTGATGATATTTGCCTAGGCCTACAATCTCGTAGTCTGATCACTGGGGGAGAGTAGACTAAGGATAGCATGCCTTCGCCTCTCAGCTCACAGAAATACTTTGGTGTCACTGGGACTGGGGAGACCCCTCCAGCCGGGTTTTGGGGTGCCTGTACAGGGACCTCATTTTGCAGTACCTCCAGTACTTTACAGCACTTAGAAAACTAAAGAGGACCTGTCATTAGGCAAACAAGGAGGGCCGGCTCTGGCAGCCAGTCTGAGCTCTGCTACAGAACATACCGTATGTGAACCTGCAGAGGTAAGGGAGTAGAATAAACAGTCTTCTGCTGCTCCATTAGCATCCAATCAGTAGCTGGGGGGGGTGTTCTTGACCAAGCATTGCTGCTGGTACTGTGAAGGTCCAGGTACTGCCGGCAAATCCTTCCACAGGGTCCATTTCTATGTACTCTATGTACTCCTACTACTTGTATCGATCTGCTGGCATCATCAAAACCTTTATTTCTTTTAAAATGATACACCTTCTTTAATGCCAGTGATGTCACAACTGGGTCTTTGTGCTTCTCTATGCAATGCAGACAGATCGTGGCTGGTGGGAGGGACCAGCAGGGTTCTGTACGGAAATCACTGTAGCTACTCCTCTCGAGAGCCCTCAGTCCTAATGCAAGCAGTGGGATGGCTTTTTGGAAGGAGTTATGAGAAGCTAAAAATGACGGATGGCTCAATACGGAGGCGTGGGCGTTCCTAGGCACCCCACATGCTCTCATGTGATGCTGAACCTTAACCCCTTTGCGCCGGCGCCCCCCGGCCCTTTAAGAGGTTTCAGAAGCCGGGAGGCGGGGCGGGGTTTGATTCGCTGTCACGGCGGTCACATGATCGGAAAAGGTCCCGATCGCAAGGGGAGATCGAGACCTTCCGTGCGTCACGGACATACGCGCAGGCCGCGCGCTCTCAGCACATATGTATTTTTTCAAATGGTACGCAAGTATGCGACCGCTCAGTGTCAAGGTCCAGAGGCCGCGTATTTGTGTGCGCTCAGCATCTAAGGCAGCGGTTCTCAACCTGGGGGTCGCGACCCCTTGGGGGTCGAACGACCATTTCCCAGGGGTCGCCTAAGACCATCGGAAAACACATATTTCCGATGGTCTTAGGAACTGAGACACCGCTGCAGTCTCCGCGCGATGTGTGGGCGGGATGATACGCTGCTGTCACCCGGCCACACCTCCAAGATCGCTCAGCAGCTCCGCCTCCTCGCCGCTGATTGGCCACCGGAACTGTAGCTCAGGAGAGGCACACAGGCGGCCAATCACCGGCAAGGAGGTGGAGCTTGGAGAGGAGGAGCCAAGCGGCAGCGCGCGTACATCAAAGAAGACCGAGGGAGCGAGTGAAGAGGAGAGCGGCCAGAGAAGGAAGGAAGACAGCTGACAGGTAAGTGAGAGAGCGAGCCCAGGCTGGAGCAGGGGTCAGCAAGGTAAGTATCATTGGTGTCAGTGGGAGGAATAGTGCCCCATCATTTGTGTCACTAATACCAACGATGGGGCACTATTCCTCCCCCCACTGACACCAACGATGGGGCACTACTCCTCCCCCCACTGACACCAACGATGTGGCACTATTCCTCCCCCCACTGACACCAACGATGGGGCACTATTCCTCCCCCCCACTGACACCAACGATGGGGCACTATTCCTCCCCCCACTGACACCAACGATGGGGCACTATTCCTCCCCCCACTGACACCAACGATGGGGCACTATTCCTCCCCCCACTGACACCAACGATGGGGCACTATTCCTCCCCCCACTGACACCAACGATGGGGCACTATTCCTCCCACTGACACCAACGATGGGGCACTATTCCTCCCACTGACACCAACGATGGGGCACTATTCCTCCCACTGACACCAACGATGGGGCACTATTCCTCCCACTGACACCAACGATGGGGCACTATTCCTCCCACTGACACCAACGATGGGGCACTATTCCTCCCACTGACACCAACGATGGGGCACTATTCCTCCCACTGACACCAACGATGGGGCACTATTCCTCCCACTGATACCAACGATGGGGCACTATTCCTCCCACTGATACCAACGATGGGGCACTATTCCTCCCACTGACACCAATGATGGGGCACTATTCCTCCCACTGACACCAATGATGGGGCACTACTCCTCCCACTGCAAAATTACAGTTATGAAGTAGCAATGAAAATAATTTTATGGTTGGGGGTCACCACAACATGAGGAACTGTATTAAGGGGTCGCGGCATTAGAAAGGTTGAGAACCACTGATCTAAGGGATAAAAAACAACTGTCACTCCCAGCGCTCAGAAAAACTGCTGTTGCCAGAAGAGGCCAGACATGGAAGTTCCACCAGGAATGGTGCAGCCCCCCTCAGATGGGGAAATCCCATAGCAACTACAAAAGAAGAAAAGCAGGATGGCGCAAACACAGCAATTCATTTGGTATAAAATGCAATGCGTTTTGGGGGGGAGCTAAGCTGGGGGAAAGCGCTAGATGATGCTGGACGTCCTCCAGCCAGGAAATGAGCTCTATCTGACTGGCTGCAGCTTCTAATGCACATGGTGAGAAGCTCACAGTGTGCGGTGAATCAGAGGAAGACATTTCAGACCAGGAGAGGAGCCGGCACAACTGTGCAAGACTAAAGGGGAGGGGCCGGTACACCTCTGCAAGACTGAAGGGGAGGAGCCAATACACCTGTGCAAGACTGAAGGGGAGGAGCCCATACAATTCTGCAAGACTGAAGGGGAGGAGCCGGCACACCTGTGCAAGACTAAAGAGGAGGAGCCGTTACAACCATTGAAGGCTGAAAGAGAGGAGCCGGTACAACCATGCAAGACTGAAGGGGAGGAGCCAATACACCTGTGCAAGACTGAAGGGGAGGAGCCCATACAATTCTGCAAGACTGAAGGGGAGGAGCCAGTACACCTGTGCAAGATTGAAGGGGAGGAGCCAGTACAACCATGCGAGACTGAAGGAGAGGATCCGGTACAGCCGTTGAAGGCTAAAGGGGAGGAGCCGATACAATCGTGCAAGACTGAAGGGGAGGAGCTGGCACACCTGTGCAAGACTAAAGGGGAGGAGCCGATACAACCATTGAAGGCTGAAGGGGAGGAGCCGGTACAACCGTGCAAGGCTGAAGGAGAGGAGCCGATACAACCGTGCAAGACTGAAGGAGAGGAGTCGGTACAGCCGTTGAAGGCTGAAGGAGAGGAGCCGGTACAACCGTGCAAGGCTGAAGGAGAGGAGTCGGTACAGCCGTTGAAGGCTGAAGGAGAGGAGCCGGTACAACCGTGCAAGGCTGAAGGAGAGGAGCCGGTACAGCTGTTGAAGGCTGAAGTAGAGGAGCCGGTACAACCGTGCAAGGCTGAAGGAGAGGAGCCGGTACAGCTGTTGAAGGCTGAAGGAGAGGAGCCGGTACAGCTGTTGAAGGCTGAAGGAGAGGAGCCGGTACAGCTGTTGAAGGCTGAAGGAGAGGAGCCGGTACAACCGTGCAAGGCTGAAGGAGAGCCCGGAGTTCTACTTTAAGCAAACTGCAGGAAAATATGACAGGGAAGAATCCGGTCCGTGCCTGAAGCGTGGAGGAAGTCGTCTGTCTGCAAATGGGAGAGACGTCTTGTGAGAGCGCGTTCTGTCACGCAGCCAGAGAAACACTGTATCCCTTCACCATTAGTTAAATTGCTAAATGCACTGCAGGGCGAGCTCAGGGACCTATCAAAGACCTGACGATACAAGGTAAATGGGGAACCAGAGAGAGGATGAAAGGAAAAGGCAGATGGCACGTGACTTCGCCATCCAAGAAGAGACTGAAAAACAAACATGTCTGGGAAATAATCGGAATTTCTTTCAGAAACTTCTCATTTCCATTCCTGATCATCGGCTGGGAGACAATCAGAAGCCCCGGGGGAGATTAGAGTGAGCTTCAGTGAGAGAAACAACATCAAATTCATAATGTCCAACAATAACCCATAAAGTCTTCTCTTCCGCGTTCAGCCATCCTTGCTCCATCACCGTATGGTCTTGCAAGACTACATTTTCCAGGTCTTCAGTTTTCAGCTTCTTCTAACACATGCCTGAAGTCTGTGAGCTGCCTTGGACTCCTAAGTCAGTATAATATGCCATCATTTGCTATGTTCACACCTGACCATCACACCTACCTTAATGGCCAGAAGTTTCAGAAATCTACTTCAGATGATGGAGTTCAGGTGTCTCCAGTGAAGGGTCCTGGTAATACCACATCATACAAAGACACTGTAGACAATTGTACTCTTCCAGCCTTGTGGTAACAGTTTGGTGAAGACCCTTTTCTGTTCCACCATGACTGTGCCCCTGTGTACAAAGCTAGCTAAGCCATAAAGACATGGTTTGACCAGTTTGGTGATGAGGAGCATGAGTGGTCTACACAGTTCCCCAACTTGAACCCTACTAAACACCTTTTGGGATAAATTGGAACGTCGATTTTGAGCCAAGTTTTCCCATCCTACATCAATCCCTAACTTCAAAAATGAGCACATTTTTCATATACTGTAGGCCAGGGGTGGACTGACCATTTACAAATTCAGGCACTGCCCGAGGGCCCGGGGTCAGTAGGGGGCCCCATGAGATGCCTCTGGTACCTTTTTCATAGGCTTTTTTGAGTTTGGGCAAAGACACAGGGGCCCCATTATCCCCTACTGCCCGGGAACCCCATGAGTTGTCAGTCCGCCCCTGCTGTAGACCCTTCAAAATCATTTGGAAGCTGTCACGTACCTGGTTGGGGAGCCTGATGTGGAGAGGAGGCGTCCTCTTACTACTCCTGCTCGGAGCCCCTGATAGTGGGAACAGAGGGCGCAGAGCCAGGAGTGGCACAAGTGCCGGGTAGGTCTGGAGCTGGTGGCAGTTAGGCGAAGACCCAGGAGATCCGGATGCAGGCCAGGTGCGGATGCAGGAACGTAGGTGCAGCAGCAGGCAGGTATGACGGCAATCAGGATGCAGACTGGGAAAGGACACAGGAGCATGGATGCGGCAGCAGACAGGTATGGTGGTGACCAGGATGCAGGCTGGGTGCAGGACCGTGGGTGCAGCAGCAGGTAAGTATGGTGGTGACCAGGATGCAGGCCGGGTGCAGATACAGGTAAGTAGGTGCAGCAGAGTCAGACAAGCCGGGTCAGGATCAAACGAGCAAATCAAGTAAAAGGGAGCGCATGTGCACTCACACCATCGCGGCCTGAGGGGATCCGGCGCCGTCGCACGGCTGCACGGAGGGATCCCTGACAGAAGCCTTCTCAGAAGAATGGAGACTGTTACAGCCACAAAGGAGGTCAACTCCATATTGATGGCCATGGTTTTGGAATAGGAATTCCAACAAGCTCCTATTAAGTACAGTTTGGGGAAGGCGCTCTTCTCTTCCAGCATGATTGGGTTTCTGTGTACAATCCAGCTCCATAAAGACATTGTTTGACCCATTCAGTATGGACAAGCCCAAGTAGTCAGCAAACAGAGCCCTGACCTCAACCCTACATTTGGGATGAATCAGAGTGCTGATTATGAGTCAGGTCTTCTCATCCAGCCTCAGTACCTGACCTTACAAATGTTTCTTTGGCTGATTGGACACAAATTCCCACAGACACTCTAAATGTTTGCAGGAAGCCTTCTGAGAAGAGTGAAGCCAGCTCCATAATGGTGTGATTTGGTGGGTGTGGTATGGAGGAACTGAAGTGTCCTGCACAGAGCCCTGACCTCAACCCTTCTGAACACGTTTGGGATAAATTGGATTGCCAGCTGATAGCCAGGTCTTCTCATCCAACATCACTACCAGGAACTCAAATGGACAACACACAAGGCCCTGACCTCAACCTTGCTGGGCACCTTTGGGATGAATAGAGTGCCGATTGTGAGCCAGCTCTTGTCAACCCTCATCAGTACCTGATCCCACAAAACTTCCTTTGGCTGATGGGACACAAATTCCCAGACACTCTAAAATTTTGTGGGAAACCTTCTCAGAAGAGTGAAGCAAGCTCCATAATAGCAAGGTTTGATGGGCATGGTGTGGAGGAGCTCACGTATCCTGCACAGAACCCTGACTTCCACCGTATTGAACACCTTTGGGATAAATTGGAATGCCAATTGTGAGCCAGGTCTTCTCATTCAACATCACTACCTGGAACTTGAATAGTCAACACACAAGGCCCTGATCCCAACTCTATTGTACACCTTTGGGATGAATCGAAGTGCTGATTTTGAGCCAGGTCTTCTCATCCAGGATCAGTACCTGATCCCACGAATGTTCCTTTGGCTGATGGGACACAAATTCCCACAGATACTCTACAATTTTGTGGGAAGTCTTCTCAGAAGAGTGAAGCAAGCTCCACAACGGCGTGGTCTGATGGTTATGGTGTGAAGAAGTTGACCTCAGCCCTACTGAACTCCTTAGTGAGCCAGGTCGTCTCATCCAGCATCACTACCTGACCTCCAAAATCTTCTTTTTGGCTGAATGGGCACAACTTCCCACAGGAACACCCCACATTCTTGTGGAAGGTCCTCCTACAAGAGAGGGAGCCGGAAATATAAACCCTCCTGCAGCCTCTCATCTTGTAATTGATACAAAATTACAATGTTGCGACCTAATCACTGGAGGAGAGGAGATTGAGGAAATGCTTCCTCCTGCCTGCAGCAGGTTGATGTCATCATCTCAACCTAGGCAAGGTCACCAACTGATGCTAGCTGAATGGACACAACTTCCCTCTGGCACACCCCACATTCTTGTGGAAGGTTCCTCCTAGAATAGAGGGAGCTGCAAATATCAACCCTCCTGCAGCCTCTCCTCTTGAAATTGATACAAAGTTACAATGTTGCAACCTAATCACTGGAGGAGAGACTGAGAAAATGCTTCCTCTTGCCTGCAGCAGGTTGATGTCATCATCTCAACCTAGGCCAAGTCACCAACTGATGCTGGCTGAATGGACACAACTTCCCTCAGGCACACCCCACATTCTTGTGGAAGGTTCCTCCTAGAAAAGAGGGAGCTGCAAATATCAACCCTCCTGCAGCCTCTCATCTTGTAATTGATACAAAATTACAATGTTGCAACCTAATCACTGGAGGGGAGGAGACTGAGGAAATGCTTCCTCCTGCCTGCAGCAGACTGATGACATCCTCTCAACCTAGGCCAAGTCACCAACTGATGCTGGTTGAATGGACACAACTTCCTTCAGGCACACCCCACATTCTTGTGGAAGGTTCCTCCTAGAAGAGAGGGAGCTGGAAATATCAACCCTCCTGCAGCTTCTCATCTTGTAATTGATACAAAGTTACAATGTTGCAACCTAATCACTGGAGGAGAGGAGACTGAGGAAATGCTTCCTCCTGCCTGCAGCAGACTGATGACATCCTCTCAACCTAGGCCAAGTCACCAACTGATGCTGGTCGAATGGACACAACTTCCTTCAGGCTCACCCCACATTCTTGTGGAAGGTTCCTCCTAGAAGAGAGGGAGCTGGAAATATCAACCCTCCTGAAGCTTCTCATCTTGTAATTGATACAAAATTACAATGTTGCAACCTAATCACTGGAGGAGAGGAGACTGAGGAAATGCTTCCTCCTGCCTGCAGCAGACTGATGACATCATCTCAGCCTAGGCCAAATCACCAACTGGTACTTAATGATAATAGGTGGAGCTGTTCTAAAAAATGATAGTGGTGTAGTGTATTGTAACATATCAGGAATTAAATCCTACAGACTTGTGACAGGTCCACTTTAATTGGTTATCGGCAAGACGGAAAAGGTTTTATAGCGTTGCGGAATCCCCGATGGAGAATGCGAAGAGTCTCTCGTCCAGAAGTGAAAGCGATCAGCCAGGAGACTCTCACACCGGGGAATGGAAGTGTTTTGTTTTGTTCTGTACGTTTTATGGAGACCTGTGCACGCCGGCTCCTCGGGGACAGCTAACTGGAGGAATCTATTGTATCAAGACGGTAGTCTTTTTATGTGAGTAATAAACCACAAAACCACTAAACTCTCCCCAGGACGCCCTGCGGGCAGCGTAATTACTCTACACCCGTTCCCGACAACCTGTTAAGTCGACCTTCCGTTTTACTGTGAGCGGCAGACTGCGGTTTAAAGAATG